TTGTCGTCGTTGTCGTTGTCGTCGTTGTCGTCGTTGTCGTTGTTGTCGTCGTTGTCGTTGTCGTTGTTGTCGTTGTCGTTGTTGGTGTTGTCGTTGTTGTTGTTGTCGTTGTTGTTGTTGTCGTTGTGTTGTTGTTGTTGTTTATTTTATTTTATTTTATTTTTAACAGGTCCTTATGGTCCTGGCTCCATATCCATTCTGGGGAGCGTCAGTCTGGTTCCTATTCCCTCGGCAAGTCGAAATTGAGTACATCATACATAGTACACGCTCACGCTTCCTTCATTCTGGCCGACGGAACCCTGATCAGCATTGATTACTCCTGTATGGGAGGATTGACTATCAGCTTGCCCTACCGGGCCTACCCTAGTGTTCCTCTCAGAAACCCTGTTGGTTCCGCCGAAAAGGGATTGAAGCACAAGAACCTGGGAGAGATGTCTGTCAGTCTGATACTGAAGCCTCAAGTTGTCCTTCTTGGGACTGCATTCCTTGTCGTTGTTGGAGTGGACCACGTCCTCCAAATCAATTTATCGTCTGGGGGAGAAGGGGGGGGGAGACAATTGAATTTCATTCACAATTTGTCACTGAGAATCCGATCTTTCCCATATTGAACAGCACTAGCTTAATTCAGATATCTGCACAGGTGTTTCAAGAAAAATGACTTTCACAAAAATCATGTCATAAGAGCTGATTTTTGCACCCAAACAAAAAGGGAAAAAAAAGAGAAAAGAACCAGATAACCCGCTCCACGCCTCCTTCTGTCTTGGCCAAAGGACCCACCCCAGCATTGATTAGTCCATCTTCATGGAGGATTGACTGTCAGATTGCCTGTAGCTCTTGTTCTTCTCACTCTCCGCCTAGGCAAAGAATGTACAAAAATCTGTCTTGTCTAATGCAAGAACAGATCAGGTCCAAAAAAAAAAAAAAAAAAAAAAAAAAAAAAAACAGATCAGGTCCGGGGTCTGGGATACCAGGGAATCTAGCCGATGACGCTGTCTCTGGCGATAGTAGAAACGTGTTTGGCGTGTTTGCCAGGATGCGCGGGCAGGACTCTGTCCCGAGCATCCACATTGTACTTCACGGGTATCTTTTCGAACAGCTCAGAAGGGTTTCTATAACTTTCTTTCTTTCTTTCATCGCCTGCGCGAGCATGTCAAGTCTACAATGATGGAATATGGTGTGGAGTGTATGCGTGTAAGGTGTATGGACGGATGATGTTGTCGAGTTCAGTCAGACATTTGTCTGTGTATATGGAGGATGTCGTGTCTATGCCTGTGTGTATGGATGATGTCGCATCTACGAATGAATGCCGTTAACGAGCGAAGTCTTGTCAAGCTAATCAGTGGAAGTTGTGCGGCGGCTTATTGTTGACGTCAGTCGATCTTGGGTCCACGGACAGGCCACGACGAACCGCTCTCCTCTCTGTACGCTTGGCGTGCACAGTGGTCTGACACGTGTCAGCACACATACGTGTCACGACGGCTGTTCCGGCGACTGGCTGGTAGATGTCAAGAACCAAATGCTGTTCGCTGTTTCTTCACGTGCTCCTGAGATTCTCTCGCTTGGCTGCAGTCGTGTCGGATGATGCCACTTCTTCCATCTCAATTTGTCGTTTACTATGCTCACAATATTTTGCCCCATAATATTAATACCCAGTCTCTCTGGAAGGCTTGCTTCTTGGCTTCAAACTTGTTACCAGAAGCAAGTTTGACTGTGCAAGTTTAATTGGTGCCACCTGCAGTGAATTTCAGTCTCTCTGGAAGGACAGTGGTCGCGACCTGATCTTCGTGAGAGCTTAGCTGTGCGCCATCTGCGGTCAATTTCAGTTTTTACCTTCCTTACTTAGCATTACGCCCCCTGCCTCTTCCCTCGCGAGTTGCCACCACTGTCCTTTCGATGGTCCGTGTGCATCTGTGTTTGCAGATGGTCCAGAGAGTCAACTGTCTCAGTAATTGAAACCAGACCTCCTTACAGCACTTCAGGCTGTGTGGGATGTTGATGAGTAGTAGGATAGAGGATAGTTCGTGGAGTGGTTTGGGGAGGTGGTGAGGAGAACAGGGAGAAGACCGAGAGATCCTTCTTGACCTTGTGTTCCAGCTCGAGGACGCCTTGGGGCAGTTGTCGCAGGCAGTGCAATAGGTCTTGAGAGGCGGTTAATGGAAGGCCCAAAATTCGGCGAATTTTGGCGAATTTTTCACCGAAACTGTCATATTTAACCGTTATGACCCTGCATAGTTTGTTCGCAAAAGTTTCAACAACATTGCTTGTAGCGACGTGGCGAAAAACCCCGAATTTTTGGCCTTCCATTAACCGCTAGTGTAGGTCTTCTGGCGTGTTGTTGGCGGACAATAGGCAGAGGTCTCAGCGTTGGTCAGGTCGCGGAGTGTTTCCTTCTTTTGTGGAGCTATTGGTTGAGGGGAAGGGCTTGTGTGTGCCATGAGCCACTGCATGCTACGGACGTTTGGGGGTTTGATCGGCATATATTTTGTCCACGGGATAGTGAAGTCAACTGCGGGGTGGGTCTAGAGTCTAGACTGAGGCCCTTCCTCCATTTGCTGATTTTTATTCGTGTTAGGGTCTCTGTTGTCTGTAGTAGGCAGGCCAGCAAGGTCGTCGCCGAGTTTTGCGTCATATGCCGAGATCGGTCTGGCCTTTTTATGCTCACCCTGCTTCCAAAGCCATTCCTTGTGACTATGAATTTGACGCTGAATTCTGGTCAAATTCCTAGTCCGCGATGTTGAGTTCTGGTCGGAAGATTAAGCACGCACGGTTTGACGTGAGACTCGCTTACTTTTCTGAAAAAAGGAAAGTCTATAAAGGATTTCCTCCTCAGGGATTGTGTTCCGGAGCAGCAAAGTTTCAAGGATTTCCACTTCAGGGTCTGCTGGGTTCATCCCATCTCAAGCTACAACCTTCAGGTGACTGGGGAGTGGGGGGCGGGGGTGCACTAATCTCACAGACTGTGCCATCGACGGCCAATTCTTGAAGGTAGTGGCTTGAGTGGGATGCACCTGGACTCCTGTCCTGGAGTGATAGCTCGTAGAGTCAAGTTGCGTTAACAAGCTGGTAGCCTGTAGTTGGCAATGGGCAATGTCTGTGAGATTAGTAGGCCCCAGTCACCTGGTTTCCAGGAAAACGTTTCCCTTGACAGATTAGCCAAGGTGGAGAGACCTAGGTGGTCAGGTAGAGAGTTACTTGCCACACTCCTTGACAGATTTTCCACCTGGTTTTGTGGATGAGGCCTAGGTGGTCTGGTAGAGAGTACTTGCCAGCCACACTACTTTTTCCACCGAAGAGATCCATCGTCTTCTTCCCGTTGTGAAGAGGGTATAGGTAGGTATAGGAACGGTGAGAGAGTAATAACTTACTAATCATACAACAACTCAGTAGCTGACAAAGTCAACGACAGATGCAATTGGTAAAAAACAAGGTCTCAGAAATGGCGTCCCCGACGCGTTTCGACGGTAGCCACACCATCATCCTCAGGGGGATTACCACCTTCTCACCCGTACTAACCATGCTTACCACTAACCCTCTTCCGTCCGCTAGGCCGACCAGCTTCCGGAAACTGGTAAGAGTCGCAGGACGTTAGTCCTGAAGGGAATTACTCAATTGCATACAGCACCTATATACTGGCCTACCGAACAGTCCTAGTACAAACGCTGAGTCGCCATTCAGTCTACCGGGCCTCCAAGAGGGCCCACCGCTCCAGGCTGGCGATAGCCTGTACCCAAAAACAATAGTACCAAAGGCACGGCGGAAAGTAAGCGGTACCCAAGGCACAACGGGAAAGCAAAATAGCAAAGGACTTATCTGTGCTCCCGCAGGAAAAAAACAACAACACGCCGAAAAAACAGCAGGCGACAGGCAAAATCAAGCAGCAAACGTATCAACCCTGTCCCAGTAGCCCGGAATCCAAAGAAAACCAAAGGACTAATGCCGAAAGAAACTAACGCACTACCTCCTATTCCGAAATCCAGCAGCAGACGTATCAACCCTGTCCCAGTAGCCCGGAATCCAAAGAAAAACAGAAAGACATAATGCCGAAAGAAACTAACGCACTCACTTCTACTTCGAAACGAATGGAACAAAAACATCAAAGAAAACATCACACTCCCTGTCAGCAAACCCAATCTCCACTCAATCCTCTAGCAGCTTCACGGTAAACATCCAGATCTCATCCCTACGAAACGCAAAGCGCTTGAGCACTTTCATGAAGAAGTCGGCTGGGAAATCCTTTTTAAATAATTCCTGTTTCAGGCCATGCACTCTTCTCAGGATCTCCGAGCGAACCGTGGTATTGCGGTCGATCCGGTGCAGACAGCTGCAGATCGCTGCACTCTTTTGTTTCTTGCATCCCCATGACAAGAACGACTGGCCAGGGGGCCCATCAGTCCAGATGATGTCTTCATTCTTCGACATCTGCACGCAGCTCAGGTAAGGATACCGCTGCTTAGTCCGGACGACGCAGCCCAAGAAGTCGCAATGACCGGAATCATCGTCCGTGCGCTTCAAGGTGAGTGCCGCTGGGTAACATGCGTCAAAGGCCTCCAGCAGACGCAGCTTCTTCCGATCGTCTTTCGCAGAGATGTTCAACAGCACATCGTCCATCAGTCTGGTTCCATCAATGAAACGTGAGTCACTCCCCAAGTTTTGCAACAGCAGAAATTCAGCAAAAGCGCAGAGTATGCATGCCAGGGGCGGACTGGTGGTCTTCCCCATTGGGATACCGACCACCTGGTTCAGCAGCACGTTAGTAGCAAAGGTGTAGGTATGCTCCAACTCTAAGCATACAAAATCGCGCATATCCACGAAGTTCAGACACCTACAATGGTCAGCACCCGTAGTAACACCGAATGATGCGCCCTTCCCACGTGTGTTGACCCTAACCATCGAACGACCTTTGGACATATGGTAGTCAAGGAGCCAAGTCAGTGCCTTACGAATCTCCGAGTGAGGCAGACGGCTAAACATCTCCTTGATGTCGAAGGAGAGTGTCGATACGGAGAAATCGCCGTCCTGCTTCAGCAACTTGTTGTTCACTTTCTCCAGTCTTCCTGCCAAGTCAGTGACAGAAATCAGATTGAAGTGCCACTTCTTTGGGAGCGACTTCAGCAAAAAATTGAGGCCGCACGAAACCACCTTCCCCGTCCGTACCATGGGTTCACGATAGGTAGGACAAATCGGCCTGAATCTATCCAAGTCCTTGTGCTTGGGGAGCAGATAAGCAGAGCCAAATTCCCCGGTCCTATCCCATCTAACAAATTTTGTCAAACCGCGCGAAGCAAAGTCCTCCCTAATCTCTCTGTAGACTTGTCCCACCGGAACCTCCACAACTCGATAACCGGGGTTAAGCACAAAACTAGACATCATAGCGTTGAAGTACACAACAGGGCACATGGCTACTGTCTCCCCTGGATTGCGATCCAAGGGGGTCAGAACCAGGCCTTCCAATCTGGCCTTCAGATCCTCGACATGACGAGTCAGCAACGTCTCCTTAGCCCCAGCGCCCCTGTCCGTTATACAGCGGCTAAGCATCTCCCTCGAGATCTCCGGTGGCTTACCTTTCCAGTTCGACCATTGTTGGAAGCCGCTGACCAGCTCCTGTTGCAACAATCCCAGTCTATCTTCCCTATCCACCTGCGGTACGTTGTTCGCATTCCTAAGTAGGGGGTGAATACCCTCGAGCTCACTGACTCGAACACGGACATGGCCTTCCGAACGTGGGAAGGGCAATCCTGCGCACTTGCAGGTAAGCACGTCGCGGGCCGCGAAGGCTCGCTGATTGTGCAAGATCTTCGATACAGAGGGGTTCTTGACCCACACGAACCGGATCTTCTTCCATGTTCTATTCAGAAAACAAGAAGGCAATTCACCTTGCATCAACAAATCATTGAAAATCTTACGCACTTCGGCAACCTTGATCCGATCATCGAAAGTCACTCTGAAGATCGGATCCGCACTCATGCTCAAGTCATATCGATCCCGAAAAATCCTGGAGACTAACCGGCGTAAGTATTTACGAGTCGACTTTCAACTAAAGTCCTTGATTGCATTGTAGAGGCGAAGCAGCGAACACACATTCCAGCCATAAATTTCACCAATCTTCCCGGGGTTCCGCAAGAAGGATATCAAAACACTCTTCAGGTACCGACGCTTGGGCTTCCATTTCCATAGATGCACCACTCGGAAACAGCCTCCTTGACAGATTTTCCACCTGACAGATTAGCCAAGGTGGAGAGACGTAGGTGGTCAGGTAGAGAGTTACTTGCCACACTCCTTGACAGATTTCCCACCTGGTTTTGTGGATGAGGCCTAGGTGGTCTGGTAGAGACCACTTGCCAGCCACACTACTTTTTCCACCGAAGAGATCCATCGTTTCCCTTGACAGATTAGCCAAGGTGGAGAGACCTAGGTGGTCAGGTAGAGAGTTACTTGCCGCACTCCTTGACAGATTAGCCAAGGTGGAGAGACCTAGGTGGTCAGGTAGAGAGTTACTTGCCACACTCCTTGACAGATTTCCCACCTGGTTTTGTGGATGAGGCCTAGGTGGTCTGGTAGAGACCACTTGCCAGCCACAGTACTTTTTCCACCGAAGAGATCCATCGTTTCCCTTGACAGATTAGCCAAGGTGGAGAGACCTAGGTGGTCAGGTAGAGAGTTACTTGCCACACTCCTTGACAGATTTTCCACCTGGTTTTGCGGATGAGGCCTAGGTGGTCTGGTAGAGAGTACTTGCCAGCCACACTACTTTTTCCACCGAAGAGATCCATCGTCTTCTTTCCGTTGTGAAGAGGGACCAGAGATTGCCGCCGGCATCTGTCAGCCAAGGGTGTTGCAGAAGAGAGGCTGTATGAGCCTATGTTACCAGAGCGGCTGGGGACGACTTGCCCGGCCCGGCCAAAAAAGTGAAAAAATAAATAAATAAATAATTTTGTTTTAATTTTTATCTAGGCTACCAGCCGGGCCGCCCGGGTCCCGGGTGGCCAGCCCGTGCAAGGACCAGGGAAGGTCCCAAAAAAAAAAAAAAAAATCCAAAAAACAAACTATGTTATGCAGAAAACTAAACTGAACAACTTTTGCCTCAGGGTCACTTCGAAATTCTTCACCAAATTTAAAACAAAAAATAAAATTTTAAAATATATTTATTTATTTATAATTTTTTTGGCCCGGCCGGGAAAGTGACCCCGGGCCACTCTGGTAGCCTAGAATTTTATGTTTTATTTCGCGAAGAATTGCGGTCCGACCCTGAGGCAAAAGTTGTTCAGTTTTTTTTAAGGAAAAAAAAAAAAAAACAGAACCTTATAGTTCTGGCTCCTGTTACATGCTGCGCCTGCAACAGGCTGCACGGGCCACTTTCAGGCCCGTGACGTTTTCAGGCCGAAAGCCTGAAAACAAGGGCCTACAGGCCCCGTGTCGTTTCAGCCTGTAAGCCTGAAAACAAGGGCCTACAGGCCCTGTGTCGTTTCAGCCTAAATCAGGGCCTTTCCGGCCCTGAGTCTTTTCAGCCTGAAACTGAGGGCCATTTTCAGGCGCTCATGAGTTCGACCTACCCTGAAACTCAGGCACCAGACCAGGGTTTTAGCTCAGGCCATTTTTGGCTTATTTTCAAGACAACCTTTGTTTGAGCTTCAACCCCAGGGTCTGGCACGTTTTGGCATTGGCAAGAGCAACCTCCTGGACGGGCGAGCACTATATAAGACTGGCTCACCCTGCAGGCTGCAGGGAGTTCCTAGGTACTTCCCAGGCACTTCACGTGCAGTTCAGGAGGCAGGAGGTAGTCTTCAGGATTCGGCAGCAGCACTCTGGAGGAGCGCTGCAGGACTACCGACAGTAGTAGCGCTAGCAGTAGTCTTCAGTGCTGGGCGCTAGTAGCGTTAGCAGTAGTCTTCAGCGCTGGGGGCTCTTAGGAGCTAGAGTAGTACTAGAGAGAGAGAGAGATTGGGCGGAGGCCAGGGATACTTACCTGCAGCGCTATAGCTCCAGCTTCGTCTTCAAGGTACCTGCAGCACAGCGCCAACTTCACAGGTTAGTACCTGGCACATGGGAGAGAGAGAGTTCTTCTTCTTCCTCTTCTCAGTCCACCATCTCCCTCTCACCCGCTCGCTACCTGACTTCACTGGATCAGCAGACTATGAGAGAGCGGGCTTGGTGACATTCGGATCCAGACTCGACATTGGGCTTCAGACATTTTGACGAGGGATTATTTGGGGACTTGTAACAAAGACTTGGTGTTGACGACATTCCCATCTCTCCCCCTCTTCTTTGTCTGTTCCCCTCCTCTTCGTCTGTGGATGATCTGGACCTGGCGCATTCTTCCTGTGTGTAGCGCCACACCCCCTTCACACCTTGTGATAAGGATGATGTATGTTTGGTCTGCATTGATTGGGCTAGTCATTGGTATTCTAGCATTCTGCTGCGCTGTCTTGCATCCCGGTCAGGTCAGGACTTGTATCTAAGTCTTCCCCTGCGCTATAACGCACCATGTTTGTATGTATCAGGATGTACACTGCTTGTTGAGATTTCACTTGCACTGCATTGTCCATTCAGTCCTTTTTATCACATTGCGGATCCTCGGTT